CCTTGAAGGTCCCCAAATATCTCCATGGATAAGGGAGAAAGGCTGAGATGGAAGATAAATGTGAGGTGAATAACAAGCACGAGTATGTTTGGAGAGTTGACAAATCTCACACTTGAAAAATTGACTCTTTTTATTGAGAAATAAAGAAGAAAACAATCGTTCAAGATAAACAAAGTTGGGATGACCAAAACGATAGTGCAACATCATGACAAGATTATCTTTATGATTTAAGGACTCAGAAACATAAGCAGACTCACGATTAGACTGAACTRCAAGTTCATTGCATTTCTTTGTTGGTGGAGGACTCGTTGCTTTAAGAAGATACAATCCCGCACATAATTCAGCATTGCCAATCATCTTCCCCGATCCCAAGTCCTGAAAAATACAAGAATTTGCAAGGAATTTAGTGTCGCAGTTCAAGTCTTGATTCAACTTACTCACAGACAATAGATTATACTCTAATGTGGGCACAAACAATATTGATGCAAGAGTTATGGAGCTTGATATCTGAATACTCCCAATTCCAGTGACTTGAACAGGTGTACCATTAGCAATTCGAACAGACAGGTTACCCGTATAAATTGAAAATGATGAGAATAAGGATCTATCACCTGTCATATGATCCGCTCCTGAATCCACTATCCATTCAGATGGAAGAGTTTGAGTGTGGAGAGCACGAGAATTTTGGTTACCTTGTTGTACATTCCCATAACCACTTACTGTTGTTGGTGGAGTTGTTCTGTTCAATAGTTGTTGTAGCATGTCCAACAACTCTTTGGTATGTGGATGTTGGTTAGAAGTTTCAGAGACAGCAGCATTGCCTCGAGTTTCTTGATCTGATTTGGTAGTGTTCGGCTTCCAGTTCGCTGGTTTTCCATGTAATTTCCAACAGGTTTTTTTGAGATGTCCCACTTTATGACAATGATCACACCATGGTCGCCCTTTGCGCTGGCGGTTATCGCTATATAGATTCCCCCAAGCAGCAAGAGCGATTGGATCATTAGGATGATCTCGTTGGGAAATGAGCGCAGATCCATTTTGAGTAGGAGGATGTTCGGTTTGTCCCAACATGACTTGCTTTCGACTTTCCTCCCTACGGACTTGGAAGAAGACTTCTCGAAGACTCGGTAATGGCTTAGTACCAAGAATGCGACCACGAACTTCATCAAGTGATTTATTTAGACCCATCAAAAATTTGAAGATCCTTTTTGTCTCCACAAATTTTCGAAAGAGGATACGATCATCAGAACATTTCCATTCATGAGTTCCAAATAAATCTAGTTGTTGCCAGTAACGAGATAAATTGGAGTAGTACGATGTAACAGTTGAATCACCTTGTTTAATTTCTTGGAGAGTAGTCTCTATCTGGAATAACTCAGCAGTGTTTTCTTTATTGGAAAATGTATCCTCAGCAGCATCCCAAATTTCTTTGGCAGTAGAAAATAGGAGAAAGTTCTCACCAATTTCAGTGGTCATGGAATTTATTAACCAGCTCATGACTTGATTATTTTCAGCCCTCCATTTGCGAAATGTTGAATCATCGGGTTTGGGTGATTCCACTTTACCGATGATATAGTCTTCCCGTCCACGACCA